TCTTTTATTGTCAAACTCTACGCAGTAATACTGAACTGAATTCTGATTGGCTGCCCATCACAGCTGATACATTTCCATTTATAAATCTGTCAATACTCAGTTGGTTTTCAGTAAAAATATAGACATTTCTCACACATTTCCCTCCAGATGGTGTAAATATTCCAAGCACAGCAGATGTCACAAAATTACCAGGAGAAGCATTAGAAAAAAATATATATATTACCAGTTATTAAACAATAAGAATACAAGCTAATTGTTTATCCTTGCTGAGAGTACATTCAGAAATTTATAACAATAGACATGGCTTCTTTAAATAAAACTTAAATAAAACTGGAACAACAAAAAAAAAGATGTTTTTCTTGCTTATGTAGTATTTTTTAAGGTCTATTGTTTTGAATGTGGTAACAACAGGAGGCAGAAAGTTTGCTGTCCAAGTCAAAGCGCTTTCTACTTATAATTAACAATGCTTCAAATACTCTGAAGTGTGCTTTAAACTTATTCTGAACATTAAGTATGTACTTTATCTTTCTTTACATTTAAAAGACGCAGGGTCATTTAGGCAAAATGATCTCCTGTATATATTACTCCAGTTAAACTAATTTCTACGTTTACTGTCCAGATTGTTAATGCTAACCATAATGTTTTTGAAAACTGGGATGTTTTTTTATATTGGACATCCAATAAAATTCAATAAAATCCATGTACTTATCTTTAACCATAAATTTTTCTATTTCTATGTCAAACTAAAAACATTACAGAAGTAGAACGGCTACTGCATTTAAAAATTGTCCTTGCTAGCCACCTAGCTAGCTTACTGTAATTACTGTTTACATAGTAACTGGAAAATTATCATCAACTAAACAGTTTTCTGTTGTTTGACAAGTGTTACTTTGAAAGTTCATTAAATCTGTAATAAAAAATGTATTTAACTGTATTATCAGGTGACAAATGCTAACAATAGTAGGAAGCTAATGTTAGCTGTTCTGTTAGCATCTGGAACATGATCTAATCCTGAGAACAGGTTCTGATTAAATACGTTTCATTTCTTCATACCAATTTTCAGATATAATCACTAAATTATAGGTATTTTTTAAATGTTTTTTTTAAATCAACAATTATATATATTGTTTGTATTTGTTTAATTTGTAATTTTACTGGATTGTCTAAAATAAAGGTTTTTAATTATTACTCATTCTGTCATGATCCTGATGTTCTGATCTTTTACTAACTTGTTGTTTTGTCGTTATCAATGACAAAACAATCTGGACAATAGATATACTTTTACTCCAAGTGCATCACTGTTAGCTGATAAGCTAGCTAGTAGATAAGCTTTCAAAAAAAAAAAAAAAGAACGTTTTCTGCCCTAAGATTAACTTCTTATCACATTGGGAGTTTTACAGTGGAATTAAGTACATTGTTAATTTACAACACAAACAGACAGAAACTTTCTTTTTATAGATTGCAAATGTTAATGGCAAATGCTATTTTCATTTTTTCAACTTTAGTCTTTTAACTACAACCATAACTGCACTTTTTTCCATAAACAATCTCAATGTTTGAGTTTGTAACACTGAAAAGTGTTTTGGATGTTTATTTTAATGTTCATGGTTCTTTTCTATTGAAGACATTTTTCAGGGTGACCAGACGTCCCTGACGTAAAATTGTGGACATTTCCGGGGACAGCTTTAGCCGGGGACTGTCCCCGGAAATGTCCACGATTTTACCGTTTTATGAATGAGGGGGAAATATAGCATATAAACTGTTATTACAGTAGAAAGAGCGTCTCAGCATGCTGCAAACAGAACAGCTGTTAATAAATGAGGAGCAGAGTGCACCAGTTTTAATACTGACGATTAAGTTTGCAGTGGTGTCAAAAGTACACACATTTGTTACTTCAGTAAAAGTATAGATACTGCAGTATCTAGAGTAATACTCTGGTAAAAGTTGAAGAAATAACTTTACCTCTTTACTCAAGTAAAAGTGAAAAAGTATGTGCTCCAAAAGCTACTTAAAGTATAAAAGTATAAATCACTTTTTCACACAGGGCCATGATGGTTTGGATTTTTTTTCTCCTTTAATAATAAACACCTTCATTTACAAATTGTGTTTTGTGTTTACTTGTGTTGTCCTTGACTATTGTTTAAATTGGTTTGATGTTCCGAAACACTTAAGTGTGACAAACATGAAAAAAAAACAGGAAATGAGGAAGGGGGCAAACACTTTTTCACACCACCGTATATGTGTAATGAAAAAACATGTTTTTGGTGTGGCTGCTCCAGAGTTATACTGTAGATGTGTTTTGATGGTTGTAATTTAATCTGAATATAAAAATCTAACGTAACTTTTTTAGTGACACAGATTTTAATCCAGGTTACTGGAGGCGACCCGATGCACTGCAGCTGTCCAGGATACAGCAGAAACAACTGGAGGCCATTTCATTTTATAGTTATCATTATGTAGAATTTTAAAAATGTTTTTCAATTTGTATATGTATAAAAAAGTTTCAATTAGATTTTTTGGAACTATTAATGCAAACTGCCCTGTTCCTGAACACAATGTTATGTTGCTCACAAGGGATGAAGTCAGAGCTGACTGAATGACCAGATGGCACCAATAACCACTATTGATTGATTAATATTATTTATCTTAGGAAATGGAAGAGGCGCATTCCTGGATTTCACACTCGATTTTTCTTTAAATATCTATAAATATGTAAAAATGAATGAAAACATCACTGTTCCCGTTTCCTATTTTACTTTTCATAAAAGGTATTTATTTTTATCTATTAAATGTCCCCAGATTAGATTGCAGACATCTGGTCACCTTAGTTTTAGAACAAAAAAAAGTGACAAACTTTCAATAGTGGAGGCTAATGTCAACATGTAGAAGTTTTGTAGTTTAAATTATTTCACACAGACTGTTCTAATGTTCTCCTGAAAGTAAAAGAGAAGGAATATATGAGAAAAAGCTACAAAAACAGTCAGACGGGGATGGGAGTAACTTACAATGTATAAAAAGGACCCAAATACATCAGAGGAAATAGCAGTAAAAAGTAGAAAAAAGATGCAGAAAGAAGAGAAGGAAAACATGGGTTAGGAACAGATGCAGCAAGATTCCCAGCTAAAGCCTCCATATATCCTGAAGATCCTACAGATCAGATGATGCCTCGATATTTAGACACATTTTAGTTTTGGAACTTGGTTTGAAAAACTTCCATCAACAGTTAGAGAGCATTAATTATTTCCAAAGGGAAGTTGATGCTCAAACAGCAAAGTCTCCGTAGCCGGTGGGACAGAATGCAGCACTGCGGAGGGTATCGAGGCAGTTTACTAGGATCAGCGCGCCAGTCAGGTGTTTCCACCGCTTGGTGATGGGGTTCCTCATTTTGTCCAGACCATGGTGGAGCTCCTGGATCACGTCCCGATAGCTGTCCCCTTCGTGGGCAGCCCACGTCAGCAGAAAATCATAGGCTGGTTTCCACATAGACTGAAACAGAAAAGAGCTTTTTTAGGGAAAAAGACCAAATGATTGAAATTCTATATAGCGGAGGTCTTCAATAGGGGGTCCTTGACCACTAGGGGGTCCACAGAGGTACTGCATGGGGGTCGCTAAAGTTTGCGTTGATTTGACTTTGTTTTAATATTCCCCCCTACTAATTGAAATGTCTTTAAATACACATTAACATGAATTCAACACACTGTAGTAAACAGATAAAGGGAGGCAGAAGATCAGGGGCGGAGCTAGATGGGCCTTAGCCACTCATAGGCCACCCCTACCATTTTTATTGCCATCTAATACAGACGGTGGCAGCAGAAATACTATCAAGAGGAATGTTTAAACCTATGAAACATTTAAAATTTTCATATATTAATAGTTACTTGACAACTAAAACACTGTGGTTAATTATGCACATCAAAATACTAACATTATAGTTGATATACAGTATATACAGAGCGGAGTGTCCAGGTGCGAACATCTTCCTGAGCGGAAAGCGTGTGCGGCGCTCCGCTCCATTCACATGCTCTCTATAGCACCAGTTTGATATAACATAATTTTATACAATATATATATATATATATATATATATAATTAAGGGGTCCCTTGTCCATATCACATCAGTTTGGCAAACAATCACCACTACATTAAGTTTCTAAAATACAGATTCTAATTCTGAAAAAGGTGGAACTTCTAAAAGATGTAGAGATTTTCATGCTTTATTTGGTGTGAGGATTGGGTTTTTGGTGTGATCAAATGAAATATTTTTTAGTCTTCTAAGAATTTCTGTTTGCTTTTTTTATATGTAAGTTTTACTATAACAATCCAATGAAAAACTTCCAAAAATTCAAGTATTATTTGGAAGCATGGCTTTCATTTTTTTCCTCCCTAGAAGGTATATCTAAAGCAGGTAGCTTAGGGCCCTATAATTTCCGCGATCACGGAATCGGGGAATTGGCAAATTAGCGCGGAATCTAGTGTAAATGCGGAATTTTGGGGGGAAATGCACACCGGGGGACGCAAATCTGGGCGACACAACCCCTCCGTCATTTCCGCTCACCCTCCCCCATCAAAACATTGAAAAAATGGCGAAGCGGCTCTCCACAGCTCCGCTTTTTGCGAAAAAGTTGAGAAACACTTGTTTACATAGTTGCTGTATTTTATCTTGTTTTTTATGCACTTTAATGTACTGAATGGAAAATATGATTCTTTATGAAATACTTTATAATTCTGAAATTGAGAGGTCCTATTTTATTTTTTTACTTGAAAAAGCTAATGGAGCACTTTTATTTATAACCATTGGTTCATAACCATTAATTATTTGCTAGTACTTAGAGTGCAGTGTTATGTTGAAACATGAGTGAATGTGTTTTTTTTTTTACTCAATAAATTTAAGGTCATTCCTATTTTATTTGTGTACATTTTAATCATTAAAATTAAAAGCACATTCTTTTTACGACTTAAATAACAGTACAGGGTAAAAAAACTGAATTCGCAAAAATTTTAACGGAAAAAAAAGAATTTTCAAAAATTAAAACGGAAAAAACGGAATTTGGGAAAAAATAAAACGGAATTCCGGAAAAAATAAAATGGATTTTATAGGGCACTAGTAGCTTAGCTGTGTGTCTTCACAGAAGGACTGCTTAACTTTACTGTATGTCTCAACAAAGATACGTCTCTGTCCCAGACCGATCTACTGCTGGAATTAACTCCGTTAAAGTTCCTATAGAAAGTGCTCCCTGTGCTTTTCCATCTCCTTATGTTTGACCTCCATCTGGTCCCAGCAGATGGTTAATAGATCGACTGGATGTTAATTGATCCACATTAAATTTGACATAATCAGATATTTCTCATGCTTGTCTTGTAAATCCTGATATTGGGTGCCTCACCTCATTGTCCAGGACGCCGTTCTTGTCCCGATGCGGAGCCTCGTAAGCCTCCATCTGCTGCCTGGACACTCGGGCCAGCTTCTCGGCCAGCTCCCTCCACCTGGACGCCACCTCCACCGCCGTGGTCAACAAAACAAAGTCCAGGACCAGCTTAGCAACCAGACCCTGGCAGTCCATCTTCAGCAACGCCTGGTTGGTGAAAGACGGACAATCTCAGCATTGTTTCCCAGTGTGAAAGCACGTCCCTTACAATATGTAAAAACTGATCCAGCAACTCTTTCTTTAGAAGATCATTTGTCTGTTGATGAGTGACAGATAAACAAAAGGAACCTCTGGGCCTGGAGGAGGTTTACCTGAGAAAACGATATCTGGATTACTTTGCAAAGTGTACATTTACCCCAACCTGAGTTTAGATAAGCTGTGAAACACGACCATCTGAGTGGTTAGAGGGCTTCTTATTGTCATGAGGAGAAATTTAACAGTTGACATGCAACAGAAAACCGACCAGAGGAGTTAAAGAAATGCCACAGACATCAGCTGGATGATATTCTTCCCAAAACCCGCGGGATTTTTATGGTTTCAGAGTCTAATTGGTAAAATAAATGTAAAATAGATCACTACATTATATTTGCATGTCAGTTTCTAAATGTCTTGTTATATATATCAGATAAGCCTTATCTGTTTGGTTTATTCCAGAGGCTTGGATGTTGATGTTATCATCTGCCGATCTAGACTTTTCCGTCCTGATTAAATTTTATTTTGGATTCTCAGTTATGCTTCTATTTCTGTTATTCTGTGTCGTTGTCAAGATTTATATCAGTTTTGATTTATTTTTTAAGTTTTCCGTGTCATTTCTTTCAGTTATTTATTTTTTTGTCTAGTTTTTCATATTTTTATTGTTTCTGTTATCTTTAGATATCTTTTTCTCTTAT